TCATTATTGCAATCGATTATGACTGCATGAGGTGTTATTGTCTTTGACGCGCTCACTTCAAACTGATTTAGATGAATTTTCATTCTTTTCAGACGTGTTATACAGCTATTGCATGCGAATATCGTTCTGGTTGATGAGTTTTTCTCATTCACTTCGTCATCTTCAAAGAGCAACCAAAGTTTGCTTTTGCCATTAAAGAGGTTGTTTTTGTGAGGTAGCGAAAAATTCGAACCATTCAACCCCCATAAAATGTAGGCTGTAATGCAAAAACGAGACAAATGATAATTAGAGATCGCGTCGAGACGACGCAGAAATCATCTGACTGTAATTCTGACTTCGTCAGCTTTAGACAGCCTCCGGCTTTGGCTTAAGCTTAGGCTGAGGATTGCCTAAATTGATGAGGGTAAATTTCAATTTTCTGCGATCCTCTTGTTGCAATGTTTTTGACAGGATGGGTCTACAATTACACCTTACGTTTTTTCGTATACATAATCGTTAATGAATGTGCTGTCGCTGCCAGAAGTGCTGGTGAGATGCAAATAAATAGATAATGCGATCATATGACGTATGTGCAAGGATGCCCGAGCTCTGAATCCAAAAAAAATTTTTTTGAGATCCATGATTCATAAGAATATTGCCTTTCATCTTTGCGCAGAACATGCTCTTTGGGAATCTGAACGTAGTTCTCCAAGACAGATAAAGTAAGTTTTAATTGACGGTAAAATAAGTGCATCGTTTGTTCTTGACAAGTTCATTGATCAACGCCTAAATCTGACTAAAGTCAACATTTGGTCTGTAAACGCTCTGTTACTTGATGAAATGAAAAGTAGCTGAGAAAACACCAAAATTTGTGTCGAGTGACTCGAAAAACTCGTGAATGCTCAAGGCCAATGCTTGTGGATGCCCATTATACCAAATGACCTAGTACCGTCGAAACTAAAGCCTCTACAATTCTCCCTCTATTTTCCCTATTCCTCTATCAAATACATCGAAATTTAACAGAGATTTTAGACCGTCGTGGAATCGAACGTACACCCTCTATGCTCATCGGATTTTCAAAACAAATTGTGACAACAGTACAACACCCGACAGTACATTACACTCCTATCAGCACCATTTCTTTTGTCCCACTATTATATCATCTTCTGTGAAGGTTTTTTGCGTGAGTTGTGAATATATGATATTTGATATGGTAGGAGTAAACTGTGATGAAACCGTCTTATAAAGAGATTATTATGATATCATCATTGT